TAATGGGTATAGGTTAAATTTACAAGCGCTAAACAATTTTTTCTTATAACTACCATTTGATACACTACAATTGTTGAATCGGTAATCTAATGACACCCTCAAAAAAAAAAAAAAAATAACAAACATAATTGTTTGTAAACATACTTGATTATTTTTATTTTAACATACGATCATAAAAATCAATATTATTATTTTAATATCCAAAACTAAAAAGGATGGAAAGGGATGAATTACAACTCCTAAGTTCATACTTTGGATGCGATACCATTTAAGCGAATCTATGGTTAAAATATCACGTTTATACTTTATACCACTACGAAAAGAGCACCACAAACATTGCACATTTTTCGTTGCACATATTAATGTCAACAATCGAATACCATTTACCAATTTACCATTATTACCTTAGCTACCTACCTAATTAAGAATTCAAATTTATGATATTGTAAGAAAAGTAACTGTGATGAAAAAAATGTTAAGTAATTAATTGCGATTATAATAATAAATTAAAATAATAATATTGATTTTTATGATCGTATGTTAAAATAAAAATAATCAAGTATGTTTACAAACAATTATGTTTGTTATTTTTTTTTTTTTTTTTGAGGGTGTCATTAGATTACCGATTCAACAATTGTAGTGTATCAAATGGTAGTTATAAGAAAAAATTGTTTAGCGCTTGTAAATTTAACCTATACCCATTATTTTAATTAAAAGTATTAATGCATATTTTACTAATCTTTGGAGGGCCATAGTTAATAAACTAGCCAACCAAAATTGACGATTCGACTACCAAAATGTTCAGAAAAAAAAGCTTTACCAGAATCCATTAAAAAATATAGTGGTTACCATTTGAAAAAAAAAAGTTGATTTTGCTATTGGTACACCTGCGTGTTTAAAAATTTTGAAATTGTTATAAAAAAATTGCTTGTTAAAAATAAAGAAACACGTCTTTTTTCGTTTTAACGAAATTCCATATCATCGTTCCGTAATCGTCAAAAAACCCCGCGTACAATGACATAAGATACACCCTGTATATTATATAGGTATAGTATAATGTATAGGTACTATGATTGTATAGGTATTACGCGAATACAAATACTAAAAATGTATCGTCTACATAATGAACAGCGGGATGCCAACAAATAATAATATACCTAGGTATTTGGATGCATAATTATATACTACCTATACACTACACATGCTGCGTTCGTAACAGGTGTGTACTACTGCAGCAGCCTGTAGCCGTTTTGATCGAGAACGGTTTTTTTTCGATCTCAACATAATGTAAACGGAACAATTATAATTATATTACAGTGTGACTTAGCATTCATTTACGTTTCTAAAATATATTATACCTATTGTTTCGTTTTTTAAATCAATAATCTATATTTTTACATAGGTAATATTCACGTTTCAGTTATATAGTTGTATGTAAGTAATAAGTATTAACTATACTATCACTATGTAGTATACATATGCTATATAGCCATATAGGCATGTTCTTTTAGATTTGTAACTTTTATTGCATTTTGGTTACCTAGTTGTAGTACGTATAATGTATCTATATATTATAATATAGTTAGCCAGTTAGGTGAACTGGTGAACACATAACGTGATGTTATTGATTATGGGTATATTATTTTATTTATTATGAACATTGAACACTCATATTATGTTTAGTAAAAATATAACAATATATTATGTTGAGTAATGTATTTTCTCCAGTCCGATGTCCGATACAACATCAGTGAAGTTGTATAAGGTCTATATTTAAACTTTTTTAATTTAAAAAAGATAAACGCCTAATAAAAAAATGACATTAATTACTTTGTAATTAAAAACAATACGTTTGGTGTTACTGTTATTTTATTATAATAGTGTGAGGTAAATTAATTCGTGTAAGACTTAAACCAAAATAAACATCGTCTATACAGACGTGAGACGTATACCCATTTCGGCAACAATGACGATATTGTCATTAAATTGAATATTATTGTATACTTATATACACATTATATTATATAGGTTCACTATAGAATATAGAGTCCTATACAATATCATAAACCTACTTAATAGCAGTGATGCGAATTACCGTCATCGTTGAAATCTTTCTGTTCAGCTCCGGCGATGATGACAAAATTGTTGCAATACCTAACACAGTAACACAATTTACTATACGTCTACACTTATAGGTACCTATACGGCTATACCGGCTATACCTATATACATACCTCTATATAGGTAATCCGTGCAATAGAATATTATTCGCGTACATCCGGTGCTTTTTGTAGGTACGAAGATATTTTGTAGATAAATCATTTCTGTTGGGTTTTTTTTATGGTTAATAATATTATCATATACATTATGTTGTTATATATACATTGGTCGGCGGCAATTATCGATATAACGCTCGGGTACCTAATGTTTATATTATATATATACACTATGCAATGACCTTGTATAGGCGTTAATCGCCCAATAGCTGTAAAATATTATAGGCATCGGCACAACGCATTATACTATATTATTATTCGCTATAATCTCTACGAGTGAAAGTCGATGTTCCGCTTCTGTTTCAATAGTACCTATAGGTAATACACCTAACGCTTCCAGGCCACTGCTGCTAAGGAACTTCGGATTGTCGTCTCACATAATATATAATATATATATATTATATAGACACCTACCGTGAACGCGACGACTCCTATATTATTATTATTATTATATATTATAATATTATATTCGTATTCGTTGTGTTCGCCCAACCTACGTCGATATAATATAGCAGTGACCTTTTACGACTTGATGACTTCGGTCGACACATTATGCCGTGGTGTATGAATATAATTTCTCCAACCGCTGCACCGTGGCCCATTGTGTATATACTATATACATACATAATATTATATTATAATATATTGTTCGGGCAGTATATTATGTATATTGCGCAATTATATATCGTAATAATAGACTTATAATTATATAGGAATACGATCGCGGTGCGCAACAGTTATTGTTATCTTATTGTCGTCTGCAGCAGATGATCACAACAGAATCGGTATAAATAAAAATTGTAATAATAATATGTATGTAGGTATCTAATTACTATTTTAATTTCATGTATACCGCGCGTCACCGCTGTATAATATAGTCAATTGACAATTATTTTACTTTGTGAAAGTGCAATTATTAACATATTACAGGCAGATACATTTAGGCGCAGGGCCGTCCTTATAGGATTTGCGAGATCCGCTGCAAAAATAGTTGTGAAATCAAACAACAATTTATATATTCAATTGTTTTCAGAACACCAACTTTTTGTTAACTGCTCATAATATTAACTAATTCAAAATTAGCTGCAGAAGAATTCTCTATCTTTTGGTAGGAGAATAGCAATGCGAATACCTAATCTTTGAATTACACCAAAAAAGGCATAGCAACCAATATGGACGATAGTGACGATACTTCATATCTCCAAGATGCAAATTAAAGCTATGATCAATGTAAGGGACCAAAAAGCTCTATACTTCTATAGGGTTTTCTGAAAGAATAACTTTACCCCTAAGTTTCATCCTATACCGAATTGGTTACAAACGAGTTGTATCCCAAACACGAAATTGTGCCCCTAGGTTTTTTCAGGTTACACTATATATATAGTTGTACCCGGTAGATTTTTGTGAGATATGTAGGAACACGATCCGGTAACGCATGTTCCGATAAATTTAAATCTAGAAAATATATCCGCTATATGCATATAAGCAGTATATTTTACACAGCAATAATTCATGTTCTTTCGCCATAACCATCGACTCAACTCGTGAATCTACCCCTATTTTATCATTGGGACACGAATCAAGTACCAGTAATTTCGTTTGGACACATTACTTGTTAACCTGGACCCTATTTGCCCACCATCATAATATGCTTGACCATGGCAGATATTCATTTATTAAGTAACTAAATTTATTTATGAAAATATTGGTGATAAGCATAATGTACTTGGTATTTTTCTGGACATTCAAGCATTTGATTCTGTAGACCTTGATATTTTACTAAATAAATTGTCTTATGTGGTATTCGAGTTATTGCTCATAACTTAATTAGCTCTTATTTAAGGGCAAAGGTGGGCATTAACTAGTTAAAAGGTTAATATTTTTTAAACTTTTTAACTTAACTAGTTAGTTTATTTTCTAATCAACTTATGAACTTAGCTAGTTTAATTTACAGTTGAAATAACTTAGCTTTTCTCAGTTGATTTAAAAAAATCCATCAAGTTAAAAACATTCTGAAATTTTTCGTTTATACGCAAATATTACTATATCAGTATAAAACAAAAATAATCCAATACAAAAACACAAACATTTCTGTTCTTTTTCTTGATAACATAATTTTGTGTATATTAATATATTTTATTAAGTTTTATTAAGTTGTACATTATATACTATAAACTGAGTTAAGTTAATATTTTTTTCTATATTAACTTTTAATTTATCGAGTAAATTTATAATTTGTTAGTTGTTATTTTGTTAACTTTTAACTCATCGATCTTGCGTCCTCTTAACTTAACTTAACTTGAGTTAATTATGTTCATTAACTTGCCCACCTTTGTTTAAGAGGAATATCACAAAGAGTTAAAATTGATAATCAATACTCAATTGGTGGTTATTATTTATTAAGAAATGTATGTGAGAGTGAGATAGAAATGTTCAAATGTATAATATATTATTTTTTTGTAGACTAACTAAAATAATGATTCTATGATCTTCAATATTTTATTACATTTCAATTTTCAATTTTATTATAGGTGTCCAACACAAATTATTTAAAAATATTATTACGAATGTATTGCCATGGCTTAAAACTTATTGTATGTGAAATGTAAAAATAATATTTATTTAATTACGCAATAACTGTGTAGGTATACTGTATGAAACAATGCAATTATCACTGTGTTACATAATATATGTATACTAATATCTTATAATATATAATTACAGAATCACACGTGAATGCTCGCTTGAAGAGAGTAAGTCCAGAAAATACTGCTGTAAGTATAGTTTTAAATTAAATTTTATAAGCTAAAATATTGTCTAATGGTGGTAATCTTCACGCATGCGAGCATTGCCATTTAAATATTTAATTACTGGTTTTTTTTTCATAACATGTTGTATAGGTTGTATTGTATAATAATAATAAAAAAAAAATATAAAAGAAAATTTAAATATTGAAAACCTAAAAAACCTTTATGATGAGAAATTATAAAAATTAGGTACTAACTAAATATATAAATATATCATAATACATATATACCTGACTAACCTATATTTATTGGAAAAAAATGTATTATTTTTCTTTTCGAAAATTGTATTGGGAAAATTGGTATGGCACAATACAAACAATTTGACAGTGTCCCGGCGTTTATAATAAACTAATAATTATTATGCACTTAAAAGGTGTACGGTTCTCGCACGCAGGACCGGAGGGACTCGTCCGCGGACAGCCAACAGTTCTTGCCGGCGTTCGGGCCGCTGTTCGGTCAACTCGGCCACCGCTCCCGTCCGCCCCGGCTGTACCAGGAGGCCGACTACCTGCCCGAACTGACGCCGTACTTGCAGACGGCCGCGGCGTCCAACCAAGAGACCGCCATGCTTGGTTCCGGCAACTTCGGTGTCATACCCGGTGGCACGTACTACGCGGCCGGCGAAACAGCGTCCGCGTCCGACCCGTACCTGTACGACGGCAACAGTCATGGACGACCGCACCGGTACGTTCAGGGGCACCGAATAAATGGCAATAGGTATATAATATGCCTGTCATCAACTTTCGTCTTCGTCTTCTTCTTCTTCTTCTTCTTCTTCTTCTTCTTCTTCTAGTCGTCAGTCGCGTATACATAGGCACAACTATAGGGGAGGGGTGCTTGGGTAGGCTTAGCCCACCCATGTTTTTGAACGTAATGAAATTCCAGAATCTGATATATAAATAGTTTTTCTAACAAAATACTCTTCTATTAAACTATTTTTCTGTTTACTGTTACCTAAGTCTAAATAAAAGTTTTATCTGAAAATATATTGAAGCTCAAATATTTAAGCTTAAGTATTTTTTGGCGATTATATTTTCTAATGAACGATATGTATTCTAAAATTTGTTTCAGTAATTATGTATATTTTCTAATTAATTACAGTTTACACAATAGTAAATTGTATGGCAAGGGCGGGAAGTGAACTATTTCAGTGGAAGTCGACGTGTATGGCATGAGCCTCGGGCGAGGGCTGCATTTTGCCCAAAACTGAAATTTCCTTCCCGCACGAGCCACAAATACTATTTTTTTGCCATGCCTCTGCATTCATCGATCAAGGCAAAGGTAATGTAGGGATCTATGCAACAATCAGACTAAATGACTAAAAGAAACTAATCACTAAATTCTATATCTTCCCCATATGGAACAGTCAACAACATAGATTGAAAAAGACATAAACGGATCTGAGTATTTGGAAACTCTTGCTTGACTGCTTCGATTGTTGCTTGTTTGAAGTCTGTAAAAATAAAATCTGGTTTTAAACGTATGTCGTTTTCCTTGGCATGATCCTGTAAATCTTGTAACAAACGTGTATAACATTTCCACAAACTTACAAGTCACTTTGATGCCATCATGTTAAATTGCCTATATTAATTTCCTTAAAATACGACTGACTGCTAGCCCAAATAAAATAGGTATCTTATTTTTTATTTTTCTAAATACATGTTGAAATAAAACCAAAATCGAATATTCTAGAGTAAGGCATACTGAAGTCAAATTTGTTTAAATATATATAGTTTTACAGCCTACAGGTACTTTCATGAAAATCTATTAAAGATTAATAATTTTATTATACTTCAAGGTGACACGGCAATGCGTTGCTACTTGCTACTGCTAGGTTTTTGTGATGATGCGAGCAGTATATTATCAGGTAGGCAATCTATCGCGGACTCACTTGTGGTGCATACATAAGTGTTTAATTTAACATATCAAAAAATGCAAAAAATATTGGTCCACCGAAAGCGTGGTTCGAACTCGATACATTCTGTACTAAAATACACAGGCTTATCGCATAGATAATAATTAATATTATTATTAAAACCCATACCAAAATTTATAAACAAAATATAATAATAATCTCAAAATCCCTGTTTGAGAACTTCCCCGGGTTGGAAATCTTATTCGCTTTTTTAGCGACAAAATGTGGCTATCTTCTTCCCCAAGATCTAATCTATTTCTGTACCAAATTTAATTACAATCGAATGAACGGTTTATGAATGCATGAAGGATACAGTCAGTCAGTCGCAAACATTGTTTGTCTTTTATAAAATATATAGATGGATTAAATTTTGTAACTGTTTGTTAATAACTGTTTTTAGGTTTTCCGGAAATCCTAGACCATCAGCATTCCGTGACCCAGATGACTTCTTTGCAGGGTTCCGAGACTTTGCGGATATCACAGCTCCGACCAAGTCATCATTCTCACAATACCATATGGTATATGCTCCAATGGAAGATTTACCGTCCAGTGAAGAAAAGGTCAAGTCGAAAAAGAAGAGAAAGTTAAACAAACATTTAGAGAATGAAAATGATAAAACAATTAAAGCTAAAAGAAAAATGCACATGGGTGAAAAGGAATTATACGAACCAATGATTGCGCTAAGTTAGTCGGTATGATACAAGAATGAATAATGAAGAAATTATTATTATTATTATTATTATTATTATTATTATTATTTCGAAGTACAAAGTATTGGAATTTTTTTCTATCGACTATATAATATACATATAGGGTACATAAAGGTACCTATATACATATAGGTACAAAAAGAAGTGTCCCAACTACCAAAGTTTGTGAGCTCGATTGCTTACATCTCATGGTGTTGGCATTTAAAATGTTTTATTTAACAAGTAGATCCATCAAAAACATGGTTTTCCAATGTACTATACTATTATACTGTGTTAATATGTTATTACTTATATATTAATATAATATATTATTATGAATCATGACGTATTAATAGGTCATATTCAAATTAAAATAAATATTATTTGTATGCTTAGTTATTATTTTATTATTTTATTATTGTATAAAAAATACCAAATACCTAGTTGTATACTGTTTTAAACTAATGTATAATAATTTGTAAATATATATTTTTTTAAATAAATGTTAAAAATTGTTTAAAAATATGAGTTGAAATTACTAGTTTGAAAAATTGGTATACATAATATAGTATATACTACCTATATAATATGTCTAGGTATATGTACCTATACAGGTAAAATGCGTCTTATTAAATTTAACACTTTACAGTTGTCAAGATTTAGCACTACTGCACTACGTCTCATGCATAGGTATTTATTATAATTTATAATAGTGAATTTCGTCAATAAATAAAATGTATATTTAGGTATAACACCGATTTTAATTTGTATACTAGTATCTAAACGTTTGTGACATAAACGAACGGCTCAGTATAATCGTTACTTATAAGTCTTAATAGCATTTTATGTGTGGTTTAAAGTGTTTGAACGGTCCATAGAAAACAGAAATTAGGTATAGCAAATATTCGTTCACCAGTTTTAATAGTGTGTGATGTTAGTTTTGATAGGTATTAAAGTGTATGACCTATTATCAAACTTTAAGGTAAGAACATTATCTGCGTTCTCGTTGGTTTTTTACATACCATAACTCACTTGAAAATTAAAATATCGTGCGGTATGCTTTTTGTACAAATCTTGATCGGTCATGTCTGTTTTTGAGCATCCAAAATTTTAAAAACTTAATAATATTATGGCACACACTATACCTAGGTACTGTTATATTGGCTTTTTTTTGCATATTATGAATGTATAACGGTAATTATTTAAGTTTTAAACATTATTTTGACCTTCAATAATTTTGTGCTCAGTATAGTATCCACAATCAATCCATATACACACCCTCCTACTGCCACAGACTTGGGTCAACACAGAATTGAAAAAATAATATTTTTGCTATTGAAATCTAAATCTACTGAATAAAGTAGAAAAATATTTGGAATACTTTTAGTGTATAGTATTCCAATTATTTAGGAATATTATTATCATAAAGTATTCGAATCGGTAGATATTCTGAATACTTTTTATTTAAGTATTTGGAATATGTATTTGAAATACTTTTAATACGTATTTTACCCAAGTCCATGGGCGCCCATGGGGGAGGAGGCAATACAGGGCACTTTCCCCCCTGGAAAAAAATATTATGAACTTGTAGCTCAATAAATATTACCACAATATTACCCTTATTACTGAGGCAAATTATTTGTTGAAATCACTTTGAAGATATGAAATAAGTATAAAAATATACTCATTGGCCGGATTGGCCATTGCTATCGTATATTAACATCATAGATAGGTCGTAGTCTGTAGTCCGTATAGATACCTATACGTAAAATTATTTATCGCAGATAATTTGTGGTAAATCCATAAATATCACAATATAGGTACCTACTACAAATATTTTATCAGACAACATTGACTGCATTTTAGTCGTCCACTTTCTGTGACATTATATTTAGTGCTGACTGCTGAGTGTCAATAGTGATTATTCAATATTATTTTTTTAAATTTTAAATTTTTACTATTGATATTCGATCGTTTTTAATTTAAAAAAAGTCTGATGAAGATATATTATTATAATATTTGGTATCAGTATTGGATTGATAAAAATTTCATTGACTCCCAGTGTGATGAAATTTCGTTTGTTGACGCATTGCGAATATTATCCTGGCATTTTTCAAATACTTAATATTTTTATATCACTGCCTCCGACAACGCGCATAATAGAAAGATCGTTCAGTACATTAAGACGAGTAAACACGTGGCTTCGCTCGACGACTGGAGAAGATCATTTAAATGGGTTGTGTATGATGAGTCTTCATCGTGAAAGAGTTAACGCAAACAAGGATACTTTCATTCAGGATGTCATTACTCATTAATATGTTTGGAATAAAATGAAGAAATTCGCAGTTCTTATTTACTGATACCGAATAATATACTTAATTGTATTATTTAATTTCTATTTTTTTATATTTACTTATTAAAATTATTATTTATTTATTTATTTATTCATATGGCAATTATTCCGTGCAGAATCTAATATAACATGCATGTATACATTTATATGTGAAAAATAACTTTAAATCTTTATTGTCTTACATTTGAAAAAATTTTTTATTTTGACCCCCCCCCCTTAAAATGTTAGCTATGGGCACCCATGCACAAGTCTGCGGCTACTGGTAACCATATATATTGATAATTGTTTCATAAAAATTATTTTGCACTACATAATGATTGTTATTTGTTATGATTAAAACATGACGTACAAACTGATTAAAATTTAAAATGTTGATTACCTATTTTATGTTTTTAAATAGGTAAGTACATAATATTAATTGATCGACGAAACAAAAATGAAAAATTTTTTAATAAATAGGGAAATTATTTTTTAGAAAAGTGTATAATTAATTAGTGCCTATTGTGTTTGTATGTTGTGTCATATACTCACGTCACAAGTACGCTACAATAATTAATAAATCGTATCACTTTTTTGTTTACACAAATGGACAGCACAAAAACAATTAATAATATTGACTACATATGAGTATATGACTCCTTAAAAACAAAATGTGTACGAACAAGCTTTGCAAATATAATATTGATGTATCTAGTAAAATCTTAAATAAGAGAAAATACATATACATAATTTTTTTAGGTACCTACTATAAATTATACTGTCAACAAAATTACATCTGTTAAATACCTAAGAAAAATAACTATAAAGAAAGCATTTTCAATTCTTTAATTTGAATCTTAGGAGAAATTTCTCCGAGTCCTAGTATATTTTAGCTTATGTATATATAATGTAATAATGTAACATTGTAACCCCCCCCCCAAAATTTTTTTTGTAGTTGCGCCACTGCTCCCTCGGCATTTATAGTAGAATTACCAAAATTCTACAACGCATAGGGAACAATTTTATCTGTATTCTTCATAGCGTTTTTATAATTCGGATAACATAAATAAAATTAAAATTATCAGCTTGAGAATATTAGGTTTTTTTTTTGTTTTTTTCATTTAATTATTAAAAATTATTGGTAAATGCTATGAAAAAATAAAAACGCAACGACACAGATAAAGTTGTTCCCTTTACGTTGTGGAATTTTGGTAATTCTACTATATTTATAACAAGGGAGTGGTTCTATCCCGCGAAAAACAGTTTTTTGCTATGTTGTACATTTGTAAGACGGAGACAACACATACGGGTATTACATCATTCACATCCTCTTAACGTTAGGTTATAACTTATAACAAATGTTCACTCTGTCAAAAATAAAATACTTGAAAATGGAATACAAGGCTCCTTATTGATTTTTATTATGTGCATTCAAAAAATCAAATATACATGATAGAATTTTTAAAATATATACATGCAGTTTTTCTTCAAAGGCATTTGAAATTCAAATTAGAATGATATTACATATTTGAACCAAGAAAAATGATGTTATAAAAAAAAGGTTAGGTTAGGTTATATAATTATAACTTACAGTTATAGTTATTTTGTTACAATTCAAAATCATTATTCGTGGGGTTTTAAAACTTGTATGTATATTATGAAGTTTACCGTAAAACGGGGTAACTTTGACCCAGGGAGGTAACTTTGGCCCACAGTTGGAATTTCGATAACTTCTGTACACTGTGATAAGAAATGTGACTATTATCAAAATGTTGTGGTTGATTCTGATTCCTGACAACACTGGTAACCGAATGTGATAACAGTTTTTGGCGCTATCACTTGTATTGTTATCAATAAATATTTGTTTTGTCAACGTTATTTTTGGACTGTTAAAAGCACCTAGCATAGGCTAACTTTGGCCCAAAGTAGTGTAAACGGCCAATCTATAGCGATATTTGGAGGTGAGACAAAGTTACCCCATTTACGGGTAACTTTGGCCCATTTTTTTGAAAAATTTTTTATGGTTAAAAAATTTAAAAATTTAAAAATTTATTTCGCAGAGGGCATGTCTGAACCCACACAATTATGTACATATTTTTTTTTTTTTTTTTTTTTAAGTGCAACCTACCTTAAATTAGCTCTAAAGTTGAAAAATGCTGAAAAATGGGACAAAGTTACCCCGTTTTACGGTACTATTCATAATATAAAAATATTTGGATTAATTTTAAGCTATTACCTTGAATTACACCATGAATCTGTTCCCACTAAACTATAGTAACGAGGTATTGACTTGAAAGTTAATAACAATACCTAATATAGCATGATAAAAATATATATTGTTATAATAATATATTAATAATAAAACAAATGTGAATGTTTTTTTGTTTCACAATTCAGATATTTCCCTAAAAGAATTAGTTATCAATCGGCCAGTAGTTACCACATTTTTGAAAAATTTATATGACGCTTTTGGGGTACGAGTTCTCTCAGGATCATTAAAATCTACCTTAACAAGTCCAAAATGAATTCTGAAAAAAACAACAATTATAGTTAATCTTACATTGAATGCCTAAAATAAAATTAAAAAATAATGATTTACTATGTTATCATATAAAATATGTATTCATTATTTTAATTACAATATAATTTATCCCATTTATCATATTTATTCAAAAACAAAGTAAAATGTGTATTAATTGTTTATTAAATATTTATTTTATGTTTTGTCTCTGATATTGGTTGTATTTTATTTTAATTTCCTATTTCTCTTTTTTCACACTAAAATTAATAATCTAATATGTTTTTATTTTATTAATGATGTCTATATTACATGACAATTTGTAATTAAAATTTATCGTTATGTAACTATCTATCTCCAACACACGTGTATGCTTACAGGAGATAGATAAATCAATTTAATGTTCTATTTAATATGTTATTTTGGATTAAATGAAAAAAATAAAAATAAAACCTACGAAAAACCATCCATCCACTCAAAATTATCCAAGAGTGACCATATAGTAAATCCTATAACATTGCAATTATCTTCGTGTATTGCTTGTAATGTTGCATTTAAATAGCCCTGTAAAATAAAAAAAAATTGTAATATCAATTACCTACTTGTGTCATGCTAAAATTCTACCTTTATGTAGCTTATTCTATCTAAATCATCCAATTGACCATTATCTCCAAACCCATTTTCTGTTATAAACATAGGTGGATTACCATATTCATTTTTTATCCATACCAAAAGTTTTTTTAATCCAACAGGTGCTGTCTGAAATATAATTATTTAAGTAATATACACGACTCGACTTTGATCTAATTATTATTTATTACTATTAGCCACGATGCAGGAGACGACTTTGGCCATGATTCATCAACAGATGCATAATAATTTGCGATTGAATTATAATAAGAATCTGGATCACCACTTTCTTGAGTTACCAAACGGGAAGAATAATGATTGAAAGCATAAAAATCAGCCGTACCTACAAAAATATATACATCATTTTTGTAACTATGTATGGAAACATCATAAAATATCTATTAGTATTTAATATGTTATCTAGGTATTAAACATTTACCTTTAATTAATTTAATTTCATCTTCTGTAAATGTTGGTAGTATTGACCATGGACTTTCTTCTTTACTTTTTTTATCTAGCCATTGTCTCATTATTGGTGGATAGTCTCCTTTGTACACTGGATGACTGAACCATCCTCTCTATGAACGTTCATATTATGTCTTACAAATTAAATAATAATGTGAGATGTGTTCAAAAAGTATCCAACCTTTATAAATTTCAAAAAATCTAATAATTGATAGAAATGCCCGCTTGAGGAACAAAGGAATAATGTACCAAAACATTAAATGAGGACTATTTAGAGAATCATTGATAACTTTGTGATTCCATAAGCAGTAAAAGACAAAATTTCTAAACATTTGGAACTTGTCAGCTTTATCACAATAAGACACTATCTCATTCCTGATGCTTTGTTCAGAATTATTTAGATAAATATACCATTACTTCTTTCCAGTTTCCACCAAGCCACTACATTTCTGGCATAGCTCCTTGTAACTTTTGATTGTTCCCCAAACTTAAGCTACCATTGAAATGGGCTGTATTTGAGTTACTCAAAAATATTATGAAGAATACCACAGCCCAGCTAACCTCTATTTCCATAGATGTTTTCAAGAACAGATTTCCCAATAAAAGGTTGGATACTTATAGTGTGCATGTCATCCATTGTATAAGAAAATAATTCTATTACATCAAATTGATTGGCTCTTTCAGCAGTAACTATGTCATCTAAAGACTCAGCATTTTTTGGTAAATAAAATAATCCACTTATTGAAATGCTTATTTTTCCTGAATAAAAAAAAAATTATCCTATTCAAAATTTAAATACTAAGTTTATTACTCTTTGTTGTATACCTTGTTGAGTAGATTTAAATACCTCTTCATACAACCTATAAACTTTTCCATGGGCAATAAGTTGTGTATGACCCGCCAAATAATACCCAGCATTGTTTAAATGCAAGTATGGTGCCAGCGCATTAAAAGCATAACCTGTAGAAACCTCTAACGGTTCATTTATTGTAATCCACCATTTAACCTATAATGAGTATAAAATATAAAGACAGTTCATGTTTTTAAATTATTTATTTAAAATTTTAACTTACTCTGTCTCCATAATAAGTAAATAATACTCTTGCGTATTCCTTAAAATAATCTGACATAATTGGGTTGACCCAACCACCAAGATCTTGTAGATATTGAGGTAGATCCCAATGATACATTGTTACCTGTATAAGAATCCATTTATAATCTTTGTCCTTTATTTTAATCAAACAATACTTACAATTGGCATGATATTATTTTTAATAAGTTCATCAATAAGACGATTATAGTATGCTATTCCTTTTTGATTTAATTTATTCATTACTCCGGATGGTGCTATTCGAGCCCATGATATGGAAAAACGATAAAATTTCACCTAGAAAAATTATAAATTTAAATGTATTTTGTGTAAAAAAATCAATCTTCAATACCTATTACATTTAAATTTTTTGCCAATGCTACATCTTCTTTATACTTGTGGTAGGAATCGCAGGCAATATCTCCATTTGTTCTATCTTTTATTAATTCCGGACGAGTATGAACCAAATGATCCCAAATATTTTCTCCTTTTCCTAAAGAATAGACAGAATTAATTACAATTTATATTACAACAATTAATAGTGGTTTCAGTATAGGATCAATGACATTGTTAAATAATTTAATAGTACATATAAATAGGTAGGCATATTAAATATTTAATAATATATTGGATATATAAGAAATGTTTGTTTACCATCTTCATTCCAGCCTCCTTCTATTTGATAAGCAGCAGTTGCAGTACCAAACATAAAGTCATTTGGAAATGTATAATCCATTGCATTTGTATGAGAAATAATAAAAATTACAAGTAAAGATGTAATTTTTGTCATTTGAATGTTAATATATTGTGCAAGTATGATGCTACTGTTATCTTAATAGAAAATTTGCTCTTCAAATGGATAAGTACTGTCGTTTCTAGTCCATTATATCTTAGTCCGTGTCCCGTGATAAGTACCTATATATATTTTGACAGGTGTCTGGTTATCAATCAAACCACGTACGGCCATACAAAAAAAGTGAACTAGTAGTAAGTGGTATCTACTTCTATAATAATAATAACAATAAACTAATTAAACAAAAACCTTTATATATTATGCAATATCATATGACAAATGTAATAAGTAAATAAATAGATGGAGAATTTTTTCGGTAGTACTTTTGGGTAGGTGAGTGGTTGCATGAGGGGCCTTGGCTTTAAAAATAATTATGTCAGGCATTTAAAAATACATCGGCCCCTCTATGTAATATAATGTATATGATCATTTTGGAAACTAGTACCTATTCAATTTACCATCAGAAACATGGTATACTGACATACTGTGTATATATATGTCTATAGTTACATAGGTTCAACAGCATGTAAATATATTTTTTCATACATTTTGAAAAGTAGGTATGATATATATTATTTATTATAATGCATTAATGAATAATTTGTTTTAATTGTATGATTACTTTCCAAAGAACTAATGTTATTATACCATTATACCAATTACAAACAATTATAGTCCATCAGTAAATACCTACTATATTATAATGTATAGGTATATTCAAATGAATATGAGTTATGACAATCAACTGATTAAAATATGAGCTTTTCTATAAACATAACTAAATTAAATTTTAAATCTAATGTTCACGTAAGATAGAATTCCTTATACCAACACAATTACTTAATTAGATCATACATTAATAAATTACATCCTTAATAGTTAATATAGAAAAATAAAAATAATATAGGTACCTATAGGTAGCTATAAGATATGTCTTAATCTATACATTTGGTTTAAACTTTAAAGTTGATAAGCACTTATTTAAACAGACTCAATATAATATTCATTACTCAGATATTTCAAACTCAAAAACTTCATAGGTATTACTAGCAAAATAAAAAATAAGAAGTTATTTTTCTAGAATTAATACGTTTTGAAGTATTGCCTAACGCCTAAGTAGGTACTGCTGATAACATCATGATATCATGGATAACATAATACCATTGACTATACTGGTACTATTTTTTTATAGTGGTAAAAATACTATAGTATTACCATATATTACCATGTATTACGATATAGAAAAACCACGAATTAAGATATATCTTAATTCGTGAGTTAAACTATAGTATTTATAACTAATGATAAAACATATTATATAGGAATATATTCAATAATGCGATATGCCGATATGCAAAACCTACAAAATCCTCTCATAAGTTATAGCCTAACGAGAATATTATAAATTATTTATACATATGGGTAGGGGCCGTAGTGCAGTACTGCAGTGGCGTATTTAAGGGGGTGGCGGGGAGTAATTTCCTCGGGACGCCAAATTCTGAGTCCCTCAAAGGGGTGCCGAAAACGTACTTAAGATGGTGCATTTGCACCACCTACAATTGGTGGGTGGATACTGGCGACTGGATGTCTGGGTCCATTACGTTTTGATAAACTGGAGTACTGACACTTAGTAGCCAGTAGGTATTATGTAGCAAGGGCGTAATTAAGGGGGGTTTAGGGGGATAGATCCCCCTAAATTTTTTTTTTTACTGCTAGCATTTTGATCAAATTATTGATAATGACCATTCATGATTGCTAAAAACGTATATCTCCCCCAAACCAAATTCCTAATTACGCCACTGTTAGGTAGTTGGTGCCCACTTAATCATAGGCGTGCGCACGGGGGCAGCAGAGGCAGCATATGCTGCCCCTGGACTTTCTTTGGGGCCACCGGGGCCGGCAAATATTAAATAATGGGCCTCGGTAAAATTATATTTCCATACAAATTTTTTTTTGTTTTGATAAACTATAGATGAATATTTTATATAGGCTTGTAGAAAAATACACCTTTAGAGGCTTAGTACCTTACTATACAACCTTTTATCCAAAAAAACAAATAACCAATACAATTTTAATTTTGATATCCAATAGTAACAAAAGTAAAACTATGGGCTGGTTTTAATGGTGAATTTGAAAAATGGGCCGAATTAATCTCTTGCTGCCCCTGAAACCGGAGGCTGCGCACGCCTATGCACTTAATATGACCTTGTTAATACTTTGTTAATTGATGGCCAAGTAATTGTAGAAAGTAGAAACAAATAGCATAGATTAAAGTAATAATATATTCTATGCAAATAAATAGAAGACTATGATAATCGTAGATAAAATTAGTAATTACAACCACTTCACAAACCGTGTAATGTACTAGTGTATACAAATTAAAACTATTTATATTTTATTTATATTTAGGGAGGGGCGCCGGTGGGCAATTTCCCCGGGAAGCCAAATTCTGAGTCATCAAAGGGGTGACGTCGCTAGAGGTTATAACCATAGGGCATAGATAATACATGTATAGGGCTAGTTGTACCGTCTACGATTAAACTATGATTGAGCTTAATCATAGTTTAATCGTAGAAGGACAAACGGTACAACTGGCCCTTATAGCTAGGCCTTATAATATCTTTTCATTTCTATATATATATATATGTAATGTATTTTAATATATTGTCATACGTAGATACAATTTAGGAAAAAAAGGCTAAAATCTAAAATTATAATTTGTTTTATTTGATTTTAAAGGTTCTATAAATTACTGCTGATTCCTTGTTATCAACTACAAACGTATGTCGTATTGGCTATTGTGTATTCCCTACATTATTTATGGCCCTTCGTATTGCTTGTACATTACCATTTACCAGTATGTAGTGTAATCACTGAAAGAACTTTAAAAATTATCAAAAATCGGTTAAGGTGCACTATGAAATAAGATCGTCTTGAGTAGTCGACTAGTCGAGTCATTGTTAATAATATCATGTGAGTAAGGTGTCTACATAGATAATGATGAAGTGGTTGAAGTATTTGCAAAATGCAGTTTAGTACTAGGTACGCAAAAAAGTTATTGGATGAAACTTAAAATATAATAATTAATTATATACCTAAATATTATACACGTATTATATAGATCATAGATGTATTGATGTATGTATAAAACAATATTTTACTAAAGTTTTATTGGAAATGTTGATGTTGAACCTAATTAGAAATAGGTAGGGGTGGGTGGGTGTTTAAAATTTGTGTTTGCACCACCTACTAAAAAGCGCCACTGGTTGTTTTCAAATTGAAGTTATAACGAAAAAAAATTTTAAGCTTCTATTTTATTAGATTTGTTGAGAAAATGAGAAATTATATTTGAAATAACTGATAAGTGATAACATAATCTACATCTTTTCTCATTATACCTTTTACATTTCTATACATATTTCTACTATAGGTAAAGTCGTATAGATAAATATAATATAGATATATAATATATTAAATTATAAAATATGTTGACTTTTTAATTGGAATAAATGGAGTGGTAATGGTTAAATAAAAGTGTTATCTTAACTATAGTAGAAGCATCAGTGGAAATGTGCAATAAGGGGAAAAATATACATTTTGGGCAGTGGCGTCATTTGGGGGGGCAACTGGGGCATTTTCCCCAGACTAGTATTTACATCAACCTTAAGTCGGCACATTTACCATCCCTCCCCCCACCACATCAACCACTATAGCACTATGCTATGAGTATCGGAGTGAAAAAAATGTTGAGTCGGAAAAGCAGGGAGAAGTTGCCCTAGTCTAATAAATACTGAAATGACGCCACTGATTTGGGAGTAGGTACCTGTCAATTTTAACGGAGAGTAAAAAGTAAATTTTGGAATTAGAGAGGGCTTAAAAGTTTTTTGTGACAATGAGTAAAAGTAAACTGGGAAAAAGGGGCTCCAAAATCGTAAATAACCCTCTGGGGCCTGGGCAGTAGCTGACACATCCTATACACATGGCTATATTATTTATTATATTTAACCATGAGTTTGTAGGTAATAGCCATAGGTCTTAGGTCTATGATTATAGTAACGTAAAATTTAATTGTTAATGCAAAACTTTGAAAATGCTTGAACGAGGTAAGTCGGGGAGCTGTCCCGTCTGCCTCCCTTGTATATATTATTTTTTGATACCGTCAATAAATGATGGCGGCGCCGCGGAAGCAATGCGAAAGCAGATCCCGCGGCGTCGTCGGTTAAAACAGAAAAAAAAAAAAAAAAAGGTCTATGATTATAGTAGGAATATTCATATTTACAGAACAGTAGAACAGTGTAGGTACTAGTGTACAACCACTTTCATTATAACAGGCCGCTAAAAAAAATTGTTGTAATATTTTATAATATTGATATCATGAGTAAATAAATGTATTATTATAAATAAATAAAATATTAGATATATTATTATATTTATGATAAATATTAAATTGATTTCTTTTAACATTTATTGGGATTGGAAATATAGTTATAAATTATTATTTATCATATTAATCGTATTTATCGTAATATACTTGCAGAATGCAGAAAACCAAATGCTGTAGGTACCCATGTAAAAAAAATCGTAGACCATAGTATTAGGTTTATATAGGCTAAGGTGCTTTTATAACTCAACTAAAACAAATTAAAAATTAACTTACATTTTTAAAAACTTAACTTTGTTGACAAATAGAAAAAACAACGAAAAAAATTGTGTTATCCATAGTCCGTTTAATTCAGTAATTATGACATCAGCCGCAGTAATGGCGCAGTGACAGCTAGTGAGGAATGCCCCCCCCCTTCCGTGCAAATGCCCGGGGACCCGTGTCTACTTATTTGTTTTTCATAAGATTATGGAACGACGAAAAAAAAATTATTTAATTTATGGCAAGCAACTTTAGATTTTAGAACAAGGTTTTATAAATAAGTAATAGTTATGTTTCATATGTTTATGAATATAAATGTTTCATAATATATTCAATGATAAATCAATTATACGAA